GTTGCATTTGAGTGGACGGAAGAGTGCGAACAGAGTTTTCAGGAGTTGAAGAAGCGGTTGACCACCGCACCTGTTTTGGCTCTTCCTGATAACTCGGGGGGCTTTGTGATCTACAGTGATGCATCTTTACAGGGATTGGGATGTGTTTTGATGCAACATGACCGGGTGATTGCTTATGCCTCGAGGCAACTCAAAAAGCATGAGCGAAATTATCCAGTCCATGACTTGGAACTTGCCGCAGTAGTGTTTGCTCTGAAGATTTGGCGACATTACTTGTATGGTGAGACCTGTCAGATTTTCACGGATCATAAGAGCCTCAAGTATTTCTTTACTCAGAAGGAACTGAATATGAGACAACGGCGTTGGTTGGAATTGATCAAGGATTATGATTGTACGATTGAGTACCACCCAGGCCGAGCTAATGTGGTTGCAGATGCATTGAGTAGGAAGACTACCGTGAACTTAGCCCATATTAAGGCGGCCTATCTTCCGTTGTTGGTGGAACTACGGAAAGATGGAGTAGAAATGGAGATGACTCAACAAGGTGGAATCCTTGCTAGCTTGCATGTGAGACCCATTATGGTGGAGCGGGTAATTGCAGGCCAGTTGGAAGATCCTACGCTCTGTAGGATAAGGGGAGAAGTAGAAAATGGAACACGAAAAGATTATGTCATAAGGGGAGACGGAGCCTTGGTAAAAGGAGCTTGTCTATGTGTACCTGGTAAGAATGTTGAGTTGAAAAGAGAAATCATGGAGGAAGCTCATTGCTCTACTTACACCATGCATCCGGGTAGCACGAAGATGTACCGGACGCTACGGGCATATTATTCATGGCCGCATATGAAGGGAGACATTGCTAAGTATGTGAGCAGATGTTTGATATGTCAACAAGTGAAGGCAGAGCGACAGAAGCCATCGTGACTTATGCAACCACTTCAGATTCCTGAATGGAAGTGGGAGCGTATTACCATGGATTTTGTTTTTAAGCTTCCACGTACTTCAAAGGGTCATGATGGAATTTGGGTGATAGTGGATAAACTTACCAAGTCTGCTCATTTCCTACCCATTAAGGAGACCTATCCTTTGACAAGGTTGGCAAAACTTTTTGTGGACGAGATTGTCAGATTGCATGGGGCACCTGTGTCCATTGTATCAGACAGGGATCCTAGATTCACTTCTCGATTTTGGAGGTGTTTGCAAGAAGCTATGGGTACTAGATTGCAATTCAGTACTACTTTTCACCCACAAACCGATGGACAATTGGAAAGGACTATCCAGACTCTGGAGGACATGTTGAGGTCCTGTGTGTTAAAGTTTAAAGATGCATGGGATGTTCACCTTGCCTTGGTGGAGTTCGCTTATAATAACAGCTACCATTCGAGTATTGGGATGGCTCCTTATGAGGCATTGTATGGGAGGCAGTGCAGGACTCCTATTTGTTGGAATGAAGTGGGTGACAAGAAACTGGAAAAAGTGGATAGTAT